ACTGGGGTGCCTGGCCAGTCTGGGTGAGGGGCTGAGGGCTGTTTTCAGGCTCCGCGGGTGACTGAAGCTCCCAACCGCTCCTTTTTTTTCTTTTTTTCTTTTTTTATTCTGGGCCAGCTTTAGCTCTGGCTCTAGCTCTGAGGCTTCCGCTGCTGGTTCTATAATTGAAACAATGTATAACTCCAGCTCTGAGATCCCGGCTGGCTGAAAGTGTTACAAAGTTTCAAACTGCAAGCTCAGAGGCCGGCAGCTCAGGCGGGGAATGTTGGAGTCTGCAGTCACTGAAGCAAGCAAGCCTCACGTTCCCTTCCAGCTGCCTGGCTGCCGGCCGCCATCTTGGCTGACAGTTAATTTGCATATACTCACTGATTAGCCAATGAAAAGGGTAGCGGTCATAAGCTAATTACCATGTTTCTCTTTTATTAGTGTAGATATGTATATGTAAAATTTTAAAACTTCATAACAACTGAAAAGGTGAGTCCTATTCCTAAGCCTACTTTTACGAATGGAGGACAAGTTAAACTTGGTTTTTGTGAAAGGAAAAGTTGATATTTAAACACAGAAAGAGTGTACGTTCTTAACTATTACACGATGAACTAAACATAGTTCCCTCACTTTTATCCCACATTAATATAACCTCGTTATTATTAAGCCTAGTTAGAGTCTGTTCCTTGGCTGTGATATATTCATCTTTAGCAAGGGCTGTTCCTCTAATACAATTGATGCCTTCTGGAAGGATAACTCAATCCATCTTGTTTATCTGGTTTTAAGCTTTTGGAATCGTTCTCTTGCTCAAACATCTTCTTCAAGGGTGGTTGATTCTTGTATTTTGTTTGCTTATTTCTTTTAAAAATTGATTTTACTAGTATACAGTTTAATTAATCAATAAAAGTGTGTGTGTGTGTGTGTGTGTGTGTGTGTGTTGTAGAACTAGCTAGCATTAAACTAAGTGAAGTGCAAAACACAGCTTATGCCAGTAATTTGATAAAATTATGATTGACTGTTCTTCCAGGTGGATGGCAGTGAGCTCCAGTGCCAATGTGAGGAAGAAGAGATAATTGTGGAATGGGAAGAATCCTTAAATGTTACCAGTGAGCATCCTAGAATATACTATCCTGCATATATCAAAAGCCTAGCCAGTGAAAAAGCTTTTTTCTTAATTTCTGAGTCTACTACATATATGTTGTGTTTCTGCATGTATTTGTATGGTCTTTTTTTCACATGTTTAAATACTCACATTTGAATTTACTCCCATTGCTTTTTAGAATTGATGTATCTTCTTCTAAATTTGCATTAGGTCTTCTAAGAGCCCATAACCCAAAAAGGCTTTTTCTATAACCTGTTAATAACTGAAAATCAAAACTTTTCTGCTGATTGTGGTTCCCTTAAACATAAGGAGTGTTCATTGCTAACATAGATGGTAATTTGTATAATGTTATGGCCTTTTCCTTTAAAATTTAAAAATTGTGGGGAGGGGGAATCAAAGTATTTTAAGAAATAGAGAACTGGTTTGCAATAGCTCAGTTAAATGTTAATATTCTACTGTCCTAAAGTTTAAATCAGGGTTGAAGCTCATGGTTGTTTGTTTATTGTTGTTTCTTTTTTTAAATTTCTTTATTGATTAAGGTATTACATATGTGTCCTTATCCCCCA